GATCGACGCCGATTCGTACGATCGCTGATAAGGTCGCTCTCGTGAAACTCTTTAAGCGTTAAAGTTCTATAGATACATCGAGTCGTGCAAAAACGTTGGAGCGCTTGTATTTCGGATCGGTTGTATTACGCGCGAGACCTGCCGTATATTTCACGAAAGCCACCAGTTGAATCGTTCTGGCGTCATAAATTTGGGAACGCGCGACGGTAGTGCCATAAAGCGAAAGAACCGGACGAGACGAGAGGTGGCACGCGCGCGTTTAATCCCCGGCCCTCGTCGAAAACTGCGAGGCGAAATCGGCAAGTTCGACGAGCTAATCGTCGCTCCGCAAATTAATGCGGCCGCTTAACTGAAATTTCGAACGATATTTATCCATGGCCCTGCTCGCTCTCGCTCATTCTCTGGCCGGCGATAAATTATAAGAAGCGGCGGATTACGTCATAATGGACGCCGAGCACGCGCATCTGTTTTACGAGCGCGGCGTTACGGTAATCGTCGATGGCGAGCGAACCGACCCATCGCTCGCCATCGCCGTCCGTGTTTCCCGCTTATAATCGGCCGAACTCTCAATGAGTTCTGTATCACTCTATACCAGCTTATGGAAGGAGGAGGAGAGGGAGGAGGGTTCTCTTCCGAAGGACGGCGAGAGGGTGCTCGCCGCAGTCCTCCCCCGAGGGGCAAAACCGCGGTGCGTATAATCACTGTAATTTCGATCAGGGCGCAATTTTTGTCCAGACCGATCGCGACGTCCGTCCGATTTCATTAACCCTTCATCTCGATCGGCCCGGCAATTTCAATCGAAGTCCCGTACAATGTCCTACGGAAGCAAAATCGTGGGAAGCGAAAGCTGGTAAGACATCACCTTTAATTTTTCTTTAAGCCTTCCGTTACAGAAGACGTGATCAAATTACGTCAAGAAAGAGATTTCTGGTGTACTTTAATCATAGACAGATCATTTTTATTGCCGTTCCGTGAATTATTACCTTTATTACTTTATTCTTATTTGTATTCGTAAATAAATACAAAAGACGTGATCAAATTACATTAAGAAACAAATTTCTGATGTATTTGCATAGACAAATATAATATAATTACAATAGTTACATGTTTTGACATTAAAGTTTATGGCTGGAAAATATTATTTTTCCTTTTTTAAGAATCAGCAATCTCGTTAAAACGTTAATTAACGAGAAATAAAAATAATTTTATATTTCCAGTATATACATCAATATACTTAGGATATGATAGATGTAACACCGATTGGCTGTCATAAAATTGAAAAAGATTAATGTCAGCGTAACCTCACACTGCTCTTTACAGGTCGTCTAACGATAACACGCCGTGACGTACTAATTGCGGTCGATTTCGCGTTACGTAGCACTTTCTTACCCTCGACATGCACTTTTTTTTACTTGTGAACGCACCCTTTATCTGTATGCTATACCCATGATACTCTCAGCAACCTAATTTTTAATCGGTAATAACAATATTGCTATTCAAAAGAATGATATTGAATAAATTTAAAAATACGGAGCTCAGAGTGATGAAAACAACTTATTATTTTCTTCACTCGATCTCCAAATTTTTTAATTTATTTATATATATATATATACATAAATAAAAATTTATATACTTATTATATTTTAATATAATTTTTATAATCATAATCGACATACACAGAATTTACAATAAAGATTTAACAAACAATCTGTGTGCAGACTTTTATAATTTATTATTTAATATGTAATCTAATTTTTAACGATATTTAGATAATTTCTAACTGTACTTGTATTCCTTCTCGAATCAAGACTTGTATTATACACAGATTTGTATTCAGATCGAAATATACTTTCAATTTATTCCATTTCTGAGAGACGTGTTCGTGTACTGTAACACTGCGTACCAATCGACCTGATCTACAATGTATGACGGATTAAGAAATTTCGACAATTTACGTTTGGG